GTATACCTGTTCCCCAATGTTCATCGCAGCACTCTTTACAATAGCCAAGAGCTGGAACCAGCCCAAATGTCCATCATCGTATGAGTGGATATGGAAAATGTGGTATATCTACACAATGGAATACTACTCTGCTATAAAAAAGAATGAAATACTGCCATTTGCAACAACATGGATGGACCTAGAGAGAATTATATTAAGGGAAACAAGTCAGGCACAGAAAGAGAAATACCACATGTTCTCACTTATTGGTGGGAGCTAAAAATAAATAAATAAATACACAAACAACCTGGTGGGGCAGAGAGGGAAGAAGACACAACAATTACAATTCCTTGAAGTTGATATGACAAGTGAACAGAAAGGACATTGTTGGGAGGGAGGAGAGAGGGAGGTTTCAGTAATGGGCACAATAATCAGCCACATTGTATATTGACAAAATAAATTTTTTTTAAAATTTATACCATACTTTCTGTACTCAGTCTTCAATGATCTTTTCCTAGCATTATATACATTTAACTTATTTTTTCCACAATTAAAATCACAATTGATTGGCTAGTCTGATGGCCATCTGATTGAGGCTGATGATGTCTAATGATATATACATTGGTTTAAACTATATTAGCTTTGTAAGAATAACTCTAATTCTTCAATCTTTCTTTTATTTTACAAAAAATAACAACATAGTGAAAATGTTTAAATAATTCGCCAAAGACTACAGTACTGCTGAAACTCAATTGCTGTCTAATAGTGCTGTCTAACAGAAGCACTATGACATATTTAAAATTTTCTGTTTCAGTGGTGAACTAAATCCCAAAATCAGTTTGTGAAATGCACATAATGAATGTTAGTTCTAAGAAGATCAAATTATAGCCTTCCAAAATATAAACTGGATCTGTATAGAAATAAGAGACCTGAAGTTTTTTTGTTGTTTTTGTTTGGTTTGGTTTTCTTTATTGGACAGAAAACCATATTAATCATTATTTTTCTCTGATAAAATACCACTAGTATTGGACTGCTATCATTTACAAAATCATCATGAAAACAAAAAACTTAAAATAGTATTTCTTTTAACTCTTAAAGTAAAATTACTTGACAAAAATTGGTATTACTAAAATTAGTGTTTGTTCCCAAAAGAATCCAGTTTTGCTTTTTGTTTTGTTTCGTTTTATAGCCAACAGGTAACACTAAATAGAGTTCCATTAAAATATTCACTTGGGGGCCGACCCCATGGCTCACTCGGGAGAGTGCAGTGCTGAGAGTGCAGTGGCGCTCCCGCCGTGGGTTTGGATCCTCTATAGGGATGGCCGGAGTGCTCACTGGCTGAGTGTGGTGCAGACGACACCAAGCCAAGGGTTGCGATCCCCTTACTGGTCAAAAAAAAAAATTCACTTGGGGCAATCTCTAAATCTAAGTGCTTTATTGTAACACAAATAGATAGCAAACATCTTCTCATGCCATTTTAAAGTATCCTTCCTTTGCATGCTACCGTGAAAGGGGTATACAAACGGTACTTACCTCAAGGGACAGGTGTGAGGATTGTGTGAGATAATATATATGAAATTCAGAGCCCGCACACACTAAACATTCAATATATCTTAGTTGTTTCTATTAATAAGCAATCAAAAAAAATAGGCCATTCATTGAAGAAATATTGACTCTACTCATTTTTCAATCTACTAATTGCCATGCATTTTTGTTGATGGCATTACCTGTCCCACCATTGTTTCCCAGCAGGGTCCCCGAGGTACATCTGCAGGGTGAACAAAAAAGGGGGGCCCAGTGCTATTTCCAGAGAGGGATGCATTGTAGGCCTTGATCATGTTGGCTTCCCACAGAGTAATGTTGGCCTTTACTAGCTTCTCCTCTTCGATCTAGAAAGCACAGAGACGGAGACAAAGTGAAGAAAACACAGTTTTCAAAGGCATTTCTGGTGATCATGAGACTGGGTATTTAACAACATGCTGAGGCCAAGGACAATCCAGACACCAGGCTTACCTTGTTGTTAATCTCATCCATCAAGGCAAGAATAAATACATACAAGTTGCCCAAAAGAAGAGCAAAAATGCGTCCCAGCAGCCATTTCAGAGCGATGAGAGGATGGTAGTCTTCCAATTCAGCAAATAAGTCAAACAGTGTTGGACAGAACATCCCCAGAAGGGACATAACCATGTTCATCTACAAGGAGACACAAGGGAGGCACTGGGTCAACGGTGCTTGGCAATTGTTACTGCTTTCCTCCAGAATTTTAGAAGATTCTCAGCTAGCTTCCTGTGATCTTTTGTAAGACTAAAGAAGATTATTTTTATGCGTTTTTGAATTTGATCTCAATAAAACAACAAAGACAAAATTCAACTCACACTCTCGAGGTGTACATGTGTGTGATCTTGTGTAAGTACCAGTAGTCACAGTCTGTTTCCTGGGATAGTGAGGGGTGAAAGTTACACTACTCCTTACCCAGAGAACGCACAGTGTTCTACATGGTACCTGGTTCTGATACAGTGATGCACTTCACAAGATTTCCAAAGGAAATGGAAAATGATCTGCTTGAGGATGAGGTTCAAACAGGAAATACTAACCTGACAATCATCAGCATATGGACTGGTTGAAGCAGTTACAATGGATCAACTCCTTGAGATGGGCTCAGAACCAAATACTGAATCTTGGGGAATGCCAAATTTTAGGGGGGCGAAATGGAATGAGTTTTAGCAAAGAAAACAAAGTACTTTAGAGAAACAAATGGAGAGTACATGGCATAATGTTACAAAAGCCAAGATAGGAAAGCTTCAAAATGCAAGATTCATAATAATTAAGGTAAGAGAATGATGCAGGGGATGGGAGAGAGAGACAGAGAGAGACAGAAGCAGAGAGAGAGACAGAGAGGGAATGGAAATGTGAAATGTAGGAAATGTATAGTTCTTATCTCCTGGCTGTTCAACACCCTTATGATTGTATTATTAGACTATATTAGGTCAAGGAAAAGAATCCGGAACATCCAATAATTTTGTAATGGGGAAAAAAGATTTCAGGTAATTCTGGTGACTGTCTTTTCCAAATATCTGGCTCAAATTATCACTACCAAAATATTTTCTATTTTCCCTGTGGACTCCATGTTTTGAATAATTGTAACTACTAGATTATATTCAGAAAATAATTGTTATTTTTTTTTTCATTTTTGTTAAGAACTTTAGGAAAGTATGACCATCAGGATCAAAAACTCATCATGACAACATAAAATTACTATAATATTATTTCAGCCTAATATAAAAACTTGGCAGATTATTATATAAGATAAAGTTTAATTTGTTTTCATCAGATTTGTAAAGTTATTCATGAATCCTCATTATTACCTTCATTGGCCTCTAGGGCTCAGGGATCCCCTAAAATTGATGTTTAACAGTTTCTTACAAAGAGTGATTATTTTAATGTTAACCTAACCAACTACCCATTATTTAATATGGCTTATTTATACGAAAATATGATCATTATAAACCTTGGATCAAAGCTGCATGATAATTTTGTCCATATATACTATTAAAATTGTAAGAGAATTTTGAAAGCACACTTCATAAATGCTTTGAGGTGTTCCTTTGTTTTAAATAAATAAAATCTCTCTACCTAATGGTTTATATTTTGCAGTTTCCACGAAATGTCTATGATATTATAGTCTCTTAAACGTATGGCCCTCATCTCTGTTGTTACTGCTTCTCAATACCAAGAATGTTTTTATTTGAAGCCTTTTTTTGGTAAGTAGATTATACCATTTGCTGTCTAAGATTTTTCTAGAAGATTCTATGCTTATGAAGACTTATGCTTTTTGGTTTACAAGGATCTGCAGAAGTTTCAGTGTGGGAAGTCTACACTTCCCACAGCCTAAATCTGTATGTACTTTAAAAATATCCAAATTCATGTCACATTTTATGCCAAATTCATGAACATTTTATAAAATGGAACAGGTCCTAGCAACACCTCATAACCCATGATTTCCTGATTCTAAATATCTACCTCTAACCTCCTTTCTCTGACCCACTAAATGGGCAGACACTCTGAAGGCACATAACAGTTATAATATCTAATTCCTGGCAAAGCTCTGGCTTTCCTCATTTGGAAGAAGAGGAAGAAAGGCAGGGGAGAAGAGGGAGATGTGTAGTTAGGCTTCTAGTGAAAAACAGAGGGAAGCCCAGGCTTGCCCAAGGGTGGGGAGGTAGTCTGAATGTTTCCAGTGAGACAAATATAGGAACCAGGAGCTTCATTGTAGCTGCTTAAAAAAATTCAGGCAAAGATCTTTCAATGACAGACATGGGATCTACAAAGAAAGCCACATAGGGTCATGGAAAGAATCTTGGACTTGAAGTCAAGACTCTCAGGTTCTGACCTGATTTAGCCTAATAATATAATCATAAGGGTGTTGAACAGCCAGGAGATAAGAACTACACATTTCCTAACTCTTTTCCTAACTCTATGACCACAAACACATCACCCAATCTCCTGAGATTCATCATCTCCATCTGTAAAATGTAATGGTTGGACTATGTGTTTTTTAATACCTCTTCCGACTCTAACTTTCCATCATGTCACAAAATGCAAAAACAAAAAAACAGTACAAATTTGAAAATAAGACTGCAAAATGTGGAAAACATGCAACAGAGTTGGTTAACTATAAAGACGAGATAGGGAGATAGGTAAAGAGTGGCCTTATTTAATGTCCCGCCACAGAAGCATAAGCCACAAAACAGCAAATATCAGGTTTAAAGCACATAAAAAGCATGCAGGGACGAACTTCATTTTTTTCCCACCACCCAAGGGTGTCAGGATCTTGCTGGGCAAATTCCTGGGATCGCTTCACAGCCCAAAAGATGAGGTATCCGCTCCCGCCAAGAGTTAGAAACACGAAGAAGTTAGCAAGAAACCTCAAGAATCGGATCAAATGGACATTTTCTTCCACTTGGGCAGCTCTTTCTTCTATTATAGCTTCCTGTTTCCAAGCAAAACAACAGAAAACAAAAAAGAATACCTTGGTTACAGAAAGTTTCATAAACTCAGGAATTATTTTTGTAAACATCAGAATGTGAGGAATAAAAACGTAAAGTAAATCTGGAATTCCACAAACCACGTGAATAGTGCCAACAAAGGATGGCAAGTCAGAAAAAGAAAGAATTCTTGCAAACAAACTCAGATGGATCTCATTCTAGGAGAGCCTTCATTTTAAAAGATATTCTCTTCCAGTACAATTTTTAAATCTATAAACAATGTTTTAGAGTCATTTAAAATAATGAGCTAATTTATTCCTGTAAATAATTAGTGAGCATTGTTCTATTATTTAAAATATCTGATTCTGATTACTGATGGTCTCCTGTTTCAAGCCACTAGCATTATTTTATTACCAAATTTAGAGAGGAAAAGTCCTCGAAGGATAAAGTGCTGTCATGGGCCATCAGAGATTTTCCGGTAATGATCAGAACCATACCCAGATCCCAGCAGGCAGAAATGATAAGTCAATCTTTCTCCTAATTGTCAAGAAACTTCACTGACTAGACCATAAGGAACGCCTCCAATTTTACTCTTGGAAATACAAAGAACAGGCTTTTGAGGTTTGTATCTTTACCTTAAAGTTCATTGTGATAGAATTAAATTTGTTGTCTGCTGTTTCAGGATTGCCAATCAGGTAGTCCCAGCTGGTGAACATCTTCCAGCTGAAGTTGAAAGTGTTGTCATCACCACCTCCATCATCACCAATATTTTTTGTCATCCTGTAAAAACAGGGACCTTAGCTCAGCAGCCAGATCACAAAATGAAAGAGGGAGGGTACAAAGTGACAAAACTTCATAGTTATAGGTAAATTGGAGAAGCAATATCTAAGAGATGTATATGTTTCACAAGTTTGTTCTAATTACCAGAAAATAGAAGTTTATTTTTAAACTTTGTTTTTATTTAATTTTTAAACTTAATTTCCCAGGCCTTCAAGATTAAAAGACTAGTTAAGCACCGATGATTTTAACAATTAAACAGGGTATACAAAAATACATATTTTATGTGTTTTTTTAAAAACTGAGACATTAATGCTATATAATTGGTTTTTAACCTTTCATTGGATAAGAATCCTTTTTAAGAATCTGATGAAAACCATTGAGTCCCTCCTCAGGAAAAAAATATGTATCGATTTTAACACTGTTCCACATAACTTTAGTTTGTTCCCAGACCCCCTGAAGCACATAGTAGACTAACCCAGATCAAGAAACTCTTATGCAAATTAATTCCCCCTAGAATCTCCTCCCAAAGAGCAATTACACTGAATGCATTAAATTTCTATCTACTCTCTAATTCTTGACCCAAAATCAAGATTTTTTTATACAACCTTAACTCCAAGTGGTTACACATATTCTAATCAGTGATTTATTTTTATTTTTATTTATTTACTTATTTTTGCTTGGAGAGTTTTAAATGCATTTCCTTACAGGTTTATTTCAGTGGTTAGAGATCTATATTCCACTTACTCCACTACATTTTTTTTTCTACCCTATAAATAGAAAAATTAAAATTTTATGTGACACGTATTATAAAATGACCCCATAAGGTTTTAAATATTACAGTAATGTGGAACCAAAAAAAGAAAGTAGCACAATGACATAAAGCTGACATCGCAGGTTAACGGGCATCTCTAAGGTCAAGGTCATCTGAATTCCCTCATTGTTAACCTCTCACTCCTTATGGAGGCTTATATATTTAAAATAGGCTAACATGTTATAAAATAATAATAATAATAATAATAATTACTTCTTTCATCAGCCTACCACTTCACCCTTTGCAAATGGTGATTACATGTACTTTCATATTATTCTCCTCAAAAACATAACAAGAGGTCAAGGTAGTTACTATTATTCTCTTTTTTACAGATGAGAAGCTGAAGCTCAAAAACATGAAATAATTTGCTGGATATTATCCAGCAGTAAAGAGATAGGTGAAAGACTAGGATTTTCTGACTTCATTTCAATGCCCAGGCCTTTTTTGCATGTCAAAAAGGGTTGAAATCAAACATTCTTTAGGGTTTAATATAGGGAGAAAATTATTTATTTGATTAATATACCACCAGCCATTTTTTGCATTGTCATTGAGCAAAGGACAGGGCCTCAAATAAAAAATGCCCCCTTGATGGATAAGTTTTAAATGCAGTTTTACCCACTGGCAAAGTTTTGTAGTTGAAGACGGCTTCTCAGGGAAGGGAGCCATACCTGGATGAGCACACCAGGAATATTTAACGTGCAGGAAGTGATGTGAAAAAGAGGGGAACGCTGAAAGGAGTAAGGGAGATACCAAAGACAAACTCTGCTCACAACACATTTCTATTGAGATACGGGACTGATAGCTATAAAATGTTCCATGTTCAGCTTTGATCCCTTGTCTGCAGAGCAAAAAACTGTACATGCTTATGAAAAGTCCTCCTTTTTCAAGGAGGCTATAGTTTTGAACTACCATAGCTATGAGAAGCAATATCAATATATCATTTGCTTTGCCAAGCATTTTGGGGAAGCAATCGTAGCATTTATACTGCTGCATAAGGTTTTTACACTGAATTTCTTGCCTTGAGCCACAAATTTGCAGCTCTATATATAGACTACGGTCATTTGGTTATTTTATAGATGCGTGTGGAGGTTTTTAATAAATCAAATAAATGCCTCCAGAAATTCTAAGCCAACAGGGTCACTGCAATGTAGCTTCTGTTAAAATGAAAGTTCGGACTTGAGAGGGAAACAGGAAACAACTCTAGAAGCTCACAGGATAAGACCACTACACAAGAAAAAGAAAATTATTGCAAGGATGATACTAAACAGCATGTATTACATTCTTGAGAAAAAAGAAACTGCAGCAAATATTTTACTACAAAGCATAATACAAAAATACAAATTTGTAGTATATTGGCCACAACCATTGGTCCTTCCTTTGTTTACAGTCTATTTCCCCAAATGAACACTGTAGGGGCCAGAACTTTGTTCACCATTAAATCCCCAGGCACTACATAGCTCTGTAGATTGCCTATATTAGGTGTTCCATAAATGTTATTAAATAAATGAATAAATACATAAATTGTCATTGTGGAAGTAAACTTAGCACTGGAAAGAGCCTCACTGAATAAATATGTACATATAATATAAATTGCTTTTACATGGTACAATACATAGCATATATGCTATTGCTGTTCAGTTCTGTCCTTGTCATTATGACAGGTTTGACAATATCACCTCTCTTCATAAATAGCTGTCATTTATCCTGGACCACTACTATCGCTAGTTCATGCTTGCAAGAGGAGAATTTTTCATGTTGAATTTCATAATCACAGATGCAGTTTATAAAGCAGTAACATGAAATGGAACATGGTTTAATATATAAACATACATTTAAATGTTTCTTACCAAACTGCTTTTCTGCTCCAAGCATTTTTCAAGCATGGTCAATGATAGTTGAGGAAGAGGAGACAATCATATGCTTGGTGGAATTTGCTAGGATGTGGTGCCCAGTAGGCCAGCCCCACTAACTCTTCCATAATACACTCGTCCCACTGACTCTTAACTCTATAACAGGGCCTGAAATCCATGATTAGGGTCACCAAACATTGTTACCTCCAATGAAAATATCTCTGAGAAGTAAAATATTAGACTGGGGTCTGTGAGGGGCTCTGATTGTTAGAGAGATTCTTTCAACAAAGAAAAGTTTAATTGGGGTTGGGGGTCAGGGGAGAAAATTTTGATGCTAAGATCCCACATAAGGATGTCAAAAGACATGGAAGATGTTTAAGCAGAGTATCAGGTAGGTCACAGCTATCTGGGTAAGCAGATATAAAAGAGTGAAAAAAAATAAATAAAACGTGGGCAGAAGCACTGGTTCAAATCTCTCCTCCGCCATATATCTATTTATATGACACCAACAAATTGCTCAACTGCTCTGCTTGCCTAGGACAGAGATAAAAGGGAGAAAATAAAATTTCAATTATTTAGAAATGATGCATGAGCATGACCTTGATTTTTATGTAGTCTTGTAATATTTAAGTGTCTTATGAGACAAAGACTTAGTTTTGATCAGTTTAATTTTTTTCATTTTTTTTTAATAAAGTTTTTGGCCACAGGAGTCACATCAAGGCTATATAACTCCCAACGAATTTGACAACAGAGAAGGAACAATTTTTATATAGAATTTAAAAAATCAAAAAAGCCACCCAGCACTAGCTAGAAACAGGTCTTTGTCATCATCAACTTCCAATTTTCCTATTAGTTAAAAACAGATATTTGCCCTCATTTTGTAGACGAGATTGCTGAAGCTAACAATATAGGCAAGATGGCATAGTCTAGTTGATTTAAGAACTCAGGTTCCCTTCTATTCAATTTGAGTAATGTATCCCATAAACCCACTCAGATTTATTCCAAGAGTGTATTTGACTAGGGTGGGGGTGGGGGTGGAAAGAGATGATAGATGATTCTGTACAATCACTTATATCTCATTGATGCTTTTTCTACCAAGTATTGCCCCAGTGCTGGGAGTGGGGGTGGGGGTCATGCATTGCTTTTGAATTGTCTTGCTTTATTGCCCAATGAGCTTAAACCTCTTGCCAATGAAGTAAACAGCAACCAAAGGTACATCCCAGAGGAAGGGGCCAAAGCCAGGCCGCTTTGGTTGGCATAGCATGGACAATTTGGGGGAGGAAAATAGAACTGGTGCCTTGCAGCTACCCTAAATGGCCTTCCTGGGCAAAGCTGAAAAAACCCGTGCTTCCTCTGGAGCTGCCCTATCCAGCATGATCACCAGCAGCAATATGTGGTTACTGAGCACTTGAAGTATGACTAATGCAAAATGCACACCAGATTTTAAAGACTTACTAACCCCCCAAAAAGACAGAGAATATCTCAATAATCATTTTATATTGACTATATGTTGACATGCTAATACTTTTAATATATTGGGTTAAATAAAAATATCGTTAAAATTAATTTTACCTGTTCATTTTTTAATATAACTATCAGAAACTTATAAATTATATATATATGGATGGCCTTGCCTGATGCTACCAGAAAATTATTTTATTAAATATACAAATCTATTAATGTACAACTGCAAAACCATGTGTGACTGCCCTGTTTTAGGGGGTTATAATGTGACCTTTGCCGCTACCATGCTGGCTTTGTTTGGTTCTTCAACAGGCCTATATAATCCTAATAAAATGGTTAACATTTGTTTTGGGTGTTTCTTTTGGCAGCTGGCCAGTATGGGGATCTGAACCACTGACTTTGGTGTTATCAGCACCATGCTTCAACCAAGTGAGCTAACCAGCCAGCTCCTTTTATGGGTTTTTTTGTTTGTTTGTTTTTTGGCAGCTGAGTGGTAAGGGGATCCAAACCCTTGACCTTGGTGTTATCAGCCCACGCAACATTTTTTAAATACTTTTTGTATGCCAGGCATATTCTAAGTGCTTTGTATGTGCTAACTAATTTAGTCCTCACACCGATTATACCTCTATTAAAGATGGGAAACAGGAGAGAGGTTGAGTAATTTGTCAGTGGTTACATAAATACATAGATGGCAGAGCTCGGATTTGAAACTTGGCAGAATTATTCAAGAGCCCCGTAAGATACACAGCCTCTGCGGAGTCACTAAAAGATGCTGAGTAATTGGACATGCAAAAATTTTCTTCCCCAGTGACCATGGAGACTAAAGCCAACAGAGAAATTATACTGAGGCCTCAGTAATGTAAATAGTATCTCTGACTTTAGTCCAATCAAAGCAATATGGTCAAAAGACTAGAAAATGTCTTAGATTTTTGGAATGTAGTAGTACCTTATCATATGGATAGATGCCTATATTTGTGTCTCTGATTGCATTTTAACAGGTTGATAAATATCTTGGATATGGGGTCTCAAATAAGACTTTTCTTCAAGTTTTCAAAGAGCTTTTTAAAAACTAGGTATGACGATTTTCTCTGGAGGAACTAGTAAGTGAGGCAGAGATAGGACATGAAGCATGTCACAGGCTGCTCCAGAGAGGTCCTGCTTAGGGTGACTGTGCACTTTCTCTGTCCTGGGTCCTCAGGCAGAAGGCTTTCCCACAGGGAGGCAAGGCCAATTCACCCTCTGCATAGTCAAATAAGAGGTCAGGGACCTTACCTGAGATGTTTCTTCTCTTCTCCTAAGCTAGTTCAGAAAACTGGCTAAAGGATGAATTTTTTCACAGGCCCAAATAACTGCAGTAGGTTTCTGCAGTGTCTTTAAGCGGGTGTTATAAATATATTTCAAGCAAGGGGAAAAAATGAACTGCAGTTTATCCATTCTCCACTGAAATTCTTCTCCATGCTCTAATAAATCTTCTCCCAAGACAAACCATGATTACATAGTAGATCGTGACAGTCCCTTTTGGGGCCATTTGTTTTTGCTGTCTTACACAGCTGAAAATTTTTTGGATGAGTGATTATTCTGGCTTTTAAAAAATGAACAGAGAACAACAGATTCTGCCTATTGAGCTGATTCTGCAAGTCACAAACCCCTCTGCACACAAAAAAGGGACAGCAGCTGTTTCCCTGTCTTGTTGGCAACATTGATTCGCACCTTGAAGTGCAAAGAGGCACGCATGTTTCAGAAATATGCTTACACACAAGCTAGGCACGCAACCACCCGGCTGAGCCAGTGAGATGACCCAAAGGCCTGTGTCTGTGTCCACTCCTTCTGGTTTGAGGATGTAATCATCTAACATTAGTGTCCATATTAAAACTGCATTTCATCTCTTGCAGATTCTGCATCCTCTAAACATGGAAATAGCCACAAAATTATATCCAATTCTCAAGTTAATTCCTCTCTTTGATTCAGAAATCATTGTTTGCTTCCCCAAAGACAAATAAAACTTACGCTTTGAGGACAACCAGAAAGCTGTATCCAATGCACATAATCCCCACGAGAAAATAGGACAGCGGTAACCTGAAATTCATCCATCCAATCGTTCGTTTATTGTCGTAATATCCATAAAAGAGGACAGAATATTGTGCCAAGCCCTAAAATCCAAAAACAAAGCCACTTAGCAGATGCTGTGTAGAGCAACTCAAAGGAAAAGATCAGCTCTTAAGAGGAATGACAAAATGACATTAATTTCCAAACTTGGGTCATGGCACTAACGTGAGCCCTATTGTTTTGTTCCATGGAGTGAATGTGTCAACTGTCACATTGATTGGCAGCTCTTGGTTTATTAGAAATCAGTGACATCTAAATAGACAAAATTTTTAAGGAAACAGAGGCTTGCCCAACTGTGGAGCTATTACCATGAAATGCCCATTGATTCAAACATCAAAACACATTACATGGTGTCATCAGATTTACAATTTTAAGAGCTTGCTTGATATAAAGAGGATGAGGGAGGGGGGATCTGAACTGTTCTTACTCCAAACGCTGTGGCAGGTTTTCATTTCCAGTCACTGGAGACATAATTAGATTGATTCTCCTAAACCACAGAGGCTGCATCTCAGTTCCCACTTAGCAAAACCAAGAGCAGGTGAGATGATATTGGAACCAATCCACACAGTCTTCTACTCATCAAGACTGTCATAGCCTTCCCCCACAGCAAGCATGTTTTTTCGTGCATCGTGTTCTCTTTCTTAAACATTATCCGCCGGGATTGGAATCACCATCTCCCAAAGCCACCTGAATGACCCCTCTTTATACGTGGAACATTGGCATATTCTGTTGCTCCTTCCTTTATAATAATATTCATCTTTCTCTCCTTCTCACATTCACTGTGTTTTTCACTCTCAGCATAGAAACATTGTTTCCATATGATGAAACATCCTCTCCCGAGCTCATCTCTGACTTCTCTGGCAATAATTTAAAATTACTATGCTTTTTGAAATGAGAAAATAATAACTTGCCAGCATGGGGCTTCCTCTTGAGATCAGGTGAGACATTCCTGAATCTTAGAAAATCTAATTGGTGGCCTTTAACAGCATTTATACCAACTCAGGGACTTTGAAACTCACAACTGAAGAAGAGGGGAGAAGGGAGGGAAAGGGGGACCTGGAAGAGGAAGGGGAGGATATGCCTTGGATGCTAATTCCTAGGGGAAGAACTAAGAGAAGTAATTTAGAAAATTGCCTTAAACGAAGATCATGCCTAGCTCAAATCAGAGGCTAACGGAGATCTGAAAAAAAATATTCTTTTCAAAATGAGTGGCAAATTCACTTTTTAATACACTGTAAGAACTAGCAGGAAATAAAACTTCAAGAAAATTTCAGAGAAGCTTGTGTGCTTAACTGGGGATGGGATGAGATGAAAGGCTTGTAGGTAAATACTGAAGTGTTGAGCTTCCTTGTGCTACCCTGGCCTGTATTCGGTTTGAGAAAAAATAGATTCAACTTGTAATGGTTAATTTTATGTCAACTTGAGTGGGTCATGGGGTGTTCAGATTAAATACTGTTTCTGGGTGTGTCTGTGAGGGTGTTTCTGGATGAAATTAGCATTTGAATAGGTGGATTTAGTAAATTGCCTTTCCAGTGTGGGTGGGCATCATGCAATCCATTGAGAGACTGAATAGAACAAAAGGAAGAAAGAGGAATTTGCCCCCTTTTTTCCTGCCTCCCTGTCTGAGCTGGGACATCTCATCACATCTCTCCTGGCTTCTCCATACCTCTGGTTCTCCTGGTCTCAAGCCTTTAGACTCAGACTGAATCGCACCACTAGCTTGCCTGTTGTCCAGCTTGCAAACGGCAGCTCGTGAGACTTCTCAGCCTCCACAATCATGTGAGCCAATATTTCAAAATAAATCTCCTTATATATATATAATAAATCTACTGTTTATATTGATTTATAAATTATATAAAATATATAAAGATTTATAGACATAAATATAAATAAATAAATAAATCATGTAAATTATGTAGAATACACACACCACACACACACACATATATCTTATTGATTATGTTTCTTTGGAGAACCCTGACTAATATACAACTCAAAAGAACATTCAGGGCTAAATAACTAGTAGAAACCTCGAATAAGGGGAGCAGGTGGGTTACCCTCATGTCCAAGAAGAAATCAAATAGACATGGATCGAACAACCACCCAAGACCCAGAAATCTTTACCCCGGGAGAACACGCTTTGGCAGGATTTCCCACTCCCGGTTTTATGACATCTTGTTTCACATTCATCTAGTTAAGGTCGCTGCTTCTTCTCAGCTGTGTTAAATTCAATGTCCTTCTACCCTGTCCTGAATTTTCATGCCTGTCCCTCTGTCCCAAGGTGACAATAACAGAACCTGATAAGTGTAGACAGTTGGCCTCTTGTTTGGTTTAAAGGTTATATCCTGAACTTTTTATTTCTTTCCCATGAGACAACATGTATTATTTTCCAAGCTCCTCTGTTTTTCCCAGCAACTGATCCTTACCACATTTCCTTGCCACAGTCCTGACACTCTGTAATAACAATGCAGCAATAATATCAATTGAAAAATTTCATTGAATATTTAGCAGTTGCTGAACACCTTACTTTATCTCACAGAATCCTCAGGAGAACCTTATGAAGTTGCTACTATTTGCAGCAATCGTCTTCTCCCACTCTTCATGTTTCCTTCCATGTGGAGAAGATCTGTATGTGTAATGGTCTCAGACACCCTCCATGCCTCAGTCTAGCCCTGGGGAGGAGAAACTAATCTGACAGTAGAGCACAGATGAAGAAATGGGGATCCCTCTTCCTCCTATTGAGAGAGCGCATGCTGTGCTCTGCCCCTGCAAGGGGAAGCCTGTCCTGGTAAAAAGGTCTGGCTGTGAAGCTCACTTGTCCATAAAGAGACACCACCTTCCTTAACAACAGCTTTAACGATAATAAAGGTGGCGTATTTACCTCCACCTGCATATCCTTTGCTTTATTTCTGGTTAGCTAACAGCCTGTTCCTGCCCCTTGCACACACACAAAGATTCAATAGCCATTATACCTATATCTATTTTACAGATAAAAACTGAGTTTTAAAGAGGTTAAGTAACTTGTCCAAGCGCACATAGTAAGTGACAGATTCTGAACTTCAGCTGGGTCTGTCTAATTCAAATCCCGTATACTTAACCACCATGCTGTACTGCTTCTCCTGTGCCTTCTTTGTCTCCCAAGATTTGTATCATTCTAGTGACAGACCTCCCCAGTAAAAGGCACAAGAAGCTCTACCAGCCCAGCATGGACTTTGATCCATAACTCTGGGGCAGTCCCTGGTGGTGCCAGGGTCTCTTGAAAAGAACCCTGGACATCACTTTTGAAAAGATTTCAGAGAGCCTCATCTCCATATTCATAAATATTGCCACCTGACATCTTTTTCTAATTCATAATGGTAGTACTAGGATTAAAAGGCACCTCAAAAATAAAATGAAAGGAGAAAGTAGATATATAGCAAGCACCTGGTGAGCTTGTTAGGTTAGCACAATAGCTACTGGGGCAGCTGGCTCATCTGGTGTATGTACCATTCAACATATGTGCGATGGCTGGCACTTCACAAATGTTAGATCACAACCAAAGAGGGGAGGGACAGCTCTGTTTTCACTGGGTAGGGGTATCCTGATTATTTCACAAATGTTTCTTCAGTGTGCATTATTGCTATATATGCAATCAAGTGTGTAAATGAAAGACATACTATTAAAGAGGATGGTCTTTTAAAACATATTAAAGAGATATTTTTTTAAAAAATCCAATCCATCTTAGTAGCATATTGATGGTGGCTTTATATACGAGTTGAAAGGCTTGGAAGGGGAACACTGTCCCCTTCCACTCAGTGGGCATGCCACACTCCACACGTCTTTCTCCTTCCCTAAAACGACATCAGCAGACATCCAGAAGTGACTGAAATAGCAATGGCTCCGAGCCTCGCCAAGGTTCTATTCAGTTTCCATGTCAGCGCTCACCGCTTTCCCTGTGGGAGCACTCTCCCATCCCAAAATCTGTGACACAGGAACCATGGCCAGAGCCAAGTTTCAAATGAGCACAGAAAATTCCTGTCCAATTCTGGGGTTCCATGCTTGCAAGTCAGCTGTTAAGACTCCAATTTCTATTCAAATGCTGCAGATGGTCTACTCCCTAGTCACCAACACATTTCCCAAGAAAAAGAATTTTTGATTACGTGGTCACTAGAAATCTAGTCGTGCATGTATTTATCTAACTAACATTTATTGAGAACTTACTATTTGCCAAATACTATACCTAGATGGAGTAGAAGACTGGATTACAGAGGTCCCCAAAAGAGTTCTGCACACCAAATGTTCCCTTTGTAAGTATTTGTCACCTGAAATTATATCAGAACTCCAACCCTTTGGTGTTTCTCATGATTACAAACAAATACTCAGTGTGAAAGACAACACTCTAGCCCCAGGATGGTGAATGAGTTTCGTTATCCTTAGCATCTCTTTTTGATTCATAGGAACTGTCAGACCATTATTTTGAAAACAATCACTAACTCAAAGCTGGTGAAAAATGAAGATATAATTTAAGAAGCATGTCTGCTGAGGGTTTATGAGGGGGAGGTGGGCCCGCAGGAGTCCAGTCGAGTATGTTTCTACTTTTCCATAATGGTCATTTACACCTTCGTGTTAAAGAAGCTTTCAAATGTGCCTGGAAGGCAGGGAATGATATCATTTACTACCTCATAGAGTGGGACACAGGAGGGAAACAAGCAGTGAAAAGGCTAATGACACCCAAAGCAAACTGCGACTAATGTCACAGGAACAGCAGCCAGCCTGGCACTTCTGGGCTCCGTGGTGAGACCAGCCAGTGATCACCTGTCCTCTCGCCTCTGAGTTTCTTTCCTTTTGCTCCATCCCAGACTCAGAGATGTGAAACAAATGCTGTACAGCTCTCAGTAGGGAGAATGTAATTACAAAGAGGAAGCTGGGCTGACCCTTTGCAGACCTTCTAATTTTCAGTAGAGGGAACAAAGCTATATCGAGGACTGTAGATGGCAACCTCTGCCCCTCAGAAAGCTGTGAAGCAGTTTCTTTTGGTGCCCATCCATGTAACAGTGCCCTTACC